ATAGCGAAGGATGCGGGTTCGAGTCCCGTCTGCTGCCTGGTCCGCGTAGATTTTTTTCTAGTAATTTTTTGTTTAGATTTAAACATCTAGCATGCTTCAAAAAATTACGAATATAAATGACTTGTTATTTTTTGCATCACTTTAAATTTTATACAAGTTTAAGTTTTCCGAGAATATAAGTAAACTAACAGCCCGCCCTCGCTTCGCTTCGGTGTAAAGCTGAAGTGTAGACTACAGTTTTTGTTCTAAGGCTTGTATTATACATAATGACATTCATCTATGATTCTTCTTATACCTGCATGCAAAGTCTCAGCCCGATCGGTTTAAAATTGACAAAGTTTCATAAAAATCCTTTCTTAGCGGATGCCTACATCGTAACATCTACCTGCATGCCAAATTTCAGCCCGATCCGTCAAGTGGTTTGAGCTGTGTGTTGATAGATCACTATGTCAGTCAGTCAGTCACCTTTGAGTTTTATATATATAGATAAATAGGTATTTCGCCATTGTAGAAATTAATAGCAAAGCAATAAAAACACACTTCCGCTTTATAATAATAGTTAAGATGTCACACAATGTATTAGTCACTACAACATGATACAATATTAGTGCAAAACAGTGGATAGATAAGTAACCAGAAACTTGTATCAGGTTTAGTAGCAAAAAAGAAAAAACAAAACAAAATTGTTTATGGCTCAGGTTATAGTTTCGAGGTACAGTTATTTAGAATCTACAAATATTTAAATAACACGAGTGACTCACTGGCGCCACCTATAATTATGCTAATCATATAATTATTAAACAAAACAAATGGTTGTATTATTCAAAAGATATTCAGAGGCACGTGCAGAAATCATTTGTATAATATACATGTTCGTTGTAGATTTGTAGGTACTCTTGGATAGTATGAACGTCGTATCGAAGTGAAATAAGTACCTAAGTAAGACCTTTATATAAGCTACTCAACGATAATATCGTTGAAGCTACTAGAATACTAGATGATCCGGTATACTTCGTATCACTTACGCTAACGAGATTAAAACTCTCCATTTGCTAAAAGGCTGAAAATTTTGATCGGTAAATGTCAGGCATTTTTGACAGGAAAGTAGGTAGAACAGTTTATATTCCTCGCGATTTTTCCATATTTTCCTAAAGCTAACCTTAGCTAACCTTCCCTGGACTACGAAAACACATTTCAAAATTAAAATCTAAGTTTTAGCGCGACAAAAGAACCACAGTCGATTTTTATATATATTTAGGTTGAAGACGAAACTCACTTTCTATGAAAAGCTCAAATGTATATACAGTTATCAAGATTTCCATCTCTGGAATTTTGCGAGGAGAGCGGTTCAAAGTTTGGTTTCTTATATTTTTTCTTTAAAAGATTACATCAATAAATGCACATGTTTTTGTTATTGAATACATCTTTATTTTTTTTATTGTTTAGGTATGTCTTGTTCTTCGTCTTGTATGTTCTGATGCTTTACCCCAAAGTTAATTTAGGAAGCAAGTAACTGGCTTCGGGAAAATACAACGGTTGGGATGATTAATAACGGTAAATAATTTTCATTATCATCCGAGGTCCTAATTGTGTTCTTCTTTTATTTTGCTATCAGATTCATTCCTTTAATGTAAGTAATATAGTTCGAAAAGAGATAATTATATTATGACCCATTGACACAGTTTTTTAATTTGAAGCGAGAAGTACATTAGCTCCAGGTTAACAGTTGCAACGACATTTCTATTGTCTTCAACCTGCTACTTTATAGTAAAATCAACCATTATTTAGTATAGATAAGACATGTTAGTCTGTAATATTTCTATACGATAATTGGATTTAAACATGAATTATCGTTTATTGTCAACATTATACTAAAGGCCTCGTCCTACATGTAGCGAAAGAGCGGCGGCTATGAATGATTTTCTAACTCGGTAAAGTCGTAGTTAATTTCATACAAGGAAAATATTGCTTTTCATGTCTGTCAAGGGAAAAGATTACACATATTTATTATTTTTTATGGTTTTATGTACAATAATATACTTTTAACGTATTTATGGCACGTTTTAAGCTTACTTTAACATTATTAGTGATGTTTCTAATACTTCACAAGATAATATTTAAATATTTTTGACTAGCTGCTAACTAACGTACTACGATATTTTTTTATTTTCATCGTCATCTATTCTACTTTGACATAAGTACATAGTTTTAATGTTATAGGAGTAGACTACACAGTATGACGATGTTCATAATACTTACATCAAACGATAATTTTAAGAGTAGGTAATTTTTGTTAACGTATTTTTTTACTCGCTTGAAGTAAAACGCCGTATGTGAAACTAGTCTTTAAGGTTGAGCCTAGTTATTAGTAGTAGGCTGAGATGGCCTCTACAATTATTTACGGATTAATATATTTTTGTGTGGGTAGTGTGTGTATTTAATAAACGAACATATTACGTCACTTGCGCGTAAAGCCATGCTGAGATGTTACATCAGATAAAAAAGCACTAATTTGAATAATTATCAATTACATTTTATTGCTTTTAGGTTAAAACGCAACGGTTAAGACACTAACCATACACGTAAGTAATAAGCTTGAGAGTGAGATTAAAAACTAGGTCATATTAATTTTTCATTTACCTTCATTATTACTAGTAAACTGGCTATAAACCTTTTTAAGAAATCGAAAGCAATATCTGGGTACATCTAAAATATCAAAACTTCTTAGAGACTGTTAGGTCTCAATACACTGTCATTAATGTAAGAGTATCGCAAGGAAGTATACTGGGTCTATTTTTGTTTTTCTTTACATAAGCGATCTTCCCGATGCTTTGGATAACGACTGTATTCTCATGGCGGACTCCACACTTATTATAAAAAGCAAAGATATATAATGCAGTTTAGAGAAGGACGTTAAAAACTTCTCTTTACTATATCTTTTTGTGGGTGCCTACTAGTACTAATTCATCTTTAAGCTTGGACCAAACTAAATGAATAAGATTTCAAAGAAATAATAGCAATACTACACAGACTTCTGAAACAAAAAAAAAATTACTAGTTTTACTCATGCCAAGTTATTGAATATAACAATTGTCAAATATTTAAGTTGTAAAGAACATATTGAAATTTCTTGTACTAAGTAAGATAAATATGT